TAAACCCATTTTGACATTCTCTTTGAGATTACTGCAGAGCCATGAGGTATAGGGCCACCTCAAGAAATACTTTTCTGAGGTCAGCCACCCAGAATCTGAGGCCAGTACTGTTATGACCCCAAAGGGTCTGGATCTGGGTGGTTGAACTTGGCGCTGTGCACATGATGCTGGTTTTGCAGGCTTACAGGCAGGATGCAAGAACAATGTAGTCATGGAGGATTCAGCCAAGATTTCACAGGAAGGACTCAGAGGACAGGAGATGTTTATCAGGTCAGGATGCCCTCTAGACAGCCTCTGAGAGATGATACAGGAAGCTGTGAATGTGAACCTTAAGCTGCAATAGAGACCCTAGAATACTAGAAATATGGAATATTTGCTAAAGAAAGCCACAGTGATAAGCCCAAAAGAGTGGTATGTAGGCTATAAAAGGCTGTCAAAGTCCCACTGTGTACACCAGATATGGAGCCACATGCTTTTCCCATTAATTTATTTATTTATTCACTTTTCATCCCAATCGTAGCCTCCCCTCCTTCCAGTCTCCCTCTCAAATGACCCCTCCTCCTATTCCTCCCTTCCCTTTACCTCTGAGAAGGGGGAAGTCCCTCCTGGGTACCAACCCATCCTGGCACCTCAAATCACGGCAGGACTATGTACATCCTCTCCTACTGAGGCCAGATAAGGCAGCCAAGTTAGGGGAACAGGGTCAGCATGCAGGTAACAGTCAGGGTAAGTGCTCACAGTTGGGGGATCCACACGAAGTCCAAGCTGCACATCTGGTACCTATGTCTGGGGCGGTGGGATAGGTCCAGCCCCTGTGTTCTCTTGTATTTGGTTGGTTGTTCAGTCTTTGGGAGCCACCAAGGGTCCAGGTTAGTTGACTTTGTTGGTCTTCTTATGGAGTTCCTATCCCCTCTGGATTCCTCAAGCCTTCCCCCAACCCTTCCACAAGCCTTCCAGGAAGCTACACATTTTAATGGCTTCCATGCTGAATTTTAGTCTTGTTTTGGTCCAATCCAAATGCATGACTATGAATGTATGATAGAAGTCTTCTCTGCATGCATAGGCCTCTTTATGCAATTCAGGGGCATACAACTACCTCTCTATATGGGAAGTATACAAAGAGATGAAACTTAGGAATTATACCTTGGACTCCTTCTCCTATTCATCCTTGTATAACAGCAATTTTTGTTTTTTACCTTTGAATGTTGGAAGATGTGACTTGTTTTTATACGGACTCATAGCTAAGTTGGTTTTGGGTTTCAGAAGAAACTTGCATTTACGTGTTTGAGATGGTGGTCAACAGTTAGGTCAGCTGTTAACAGTAAGAACTGCTTTTGTAGTGGACTTAAGTTTGATTCTTAGAAGTAAGTCCAGATGGTTGTAGTGGCCTATAACTCTAGGAGAGCCACACTATCTTCTGGACTCCTTAGAATATTGTATTTATGTGTATACACACACACACACACACACACACACTTTAAAAATTATAGATCTTGAACTTAGTCTTTGGAGTATTCTTTGGAATTGTTACAGTTTTTGGGGACTCTTGGGAGTAGACTAACTACACTTAGCATTGTGAGGTGACCATGAGTCTCTGGAGCCCAAGGGCAGAATGTTATGGTATGAATACAAAACGATCTCTACAGAGTCACATTTTGGGTGCATGTTCCTCAGATAGGAGTGCTACTTTGGAAGAATCGAGAAACTCTATAGGTGGGGTCTAAGACCAGAGATAAGTTTTAAGAGTATATTATTCCTGGCCTCTCCTTGCCTTGTTCTTTGCTTCTTGTCTGACATTAGGTGAAGAATTTCTTCTGCCAAATGTTCCTACCACCATGATATCCTGCACAAGTGACTATGAACTAATTCCCCTGAAACCATGTATCAGAAGAAATTGTCCCTTTTTTTTTAAATCGGGCATTTTGATCATAGCCAACGGAAAACTAACACAATATAATATTTGCATTTCAACACTGTACTTTGTGAAGATTCTGTTATTTAGGTGTTGCCATGAGATCTGGGGAGTGTGATATCTTCACAATGATGTCTTTGTATATAATCCTGAGATGGTGAAATGTAAGATTTGGAAGGTACAATACAAGTACATTATGTATGAGTAATGCTCCTTTATGTAACTCAGATTCATAAAGCACGTTCTAAACTCCTAATATTATGCAAAGAGTTTCACTTCTGCCTCTTACTCTGTGACTTTAGGCTCTGCCCCCAACCCCTGCAAGACAGGGTTTCTGTATAGGCCTGGCTGTCCTGGAACTCACTATATAGATCAGGCTGGTCTTCTTTTTTTTGGTTTTTCGAGACAGGGTTTTTCTGTGCAGTCTTGGCTGTCCTGGAACTCACTCTGTAGACCAGGCTGGCCTCGAACTCAGAAATCCACCTGCTTCTGCCTCCCAAGTGCTAGGATTAAAGGCCTGCATAATCACTGCCCTGCTGATTTTTTCTTTAAACTTTTAAAATTTTATGTGTATGAATATTTTGCATACATGTACACCATATGTGTGCCTTATATCTGAGGAGATCAGAAGAAGACATTGGAGCCTATAAAACTGCAATTATAGATGTTGAGGCCTGCTCCTTTTAACATAACTATAGCCATTTTGTATTCAGTCTCTATTTTGCTCAGAAGATGAAATTAAGTTCAGGTTCTCAGACTCCACTTCCCAGAAGTAATTATCCACAGCTGGCACTGAAGAATGCTACTAATAAGCCAAAAAGTTATTATTATAATACTTATGCTTTGTTATCTCAATGCTCTGAAATTCCTGTTTACCACCACCCCTCTTACCTCACTCAGGAACACTCAGCTTAAAGGTTAGCAGATACCACTTTTGTCTAGTTAGGCAAAATTTTGTACTGCTCTCCTCCTTGCCTTTTAAACCTTTGAACCTGGTTTTTCCTATAAAAAGCCTGCCCCAAGAACAGACTGGTACTACAAAATTAGGTTCCTGAGTCCTTTTTGTGGTCCTGATTGATCAGTCTTGGGGTGTGTGTTCTATAAACCATTATTGCTTACCTGAGATCCATGTTTATATGGTTTGTGATGCAATTTCTGAACCCTAACAACAGACAGTTGTGACCTATCATGTGGGTAATGGGACTTGAACCTGGGTCTTCTGCTCAGTAGACTCGGTGTTCTTAACAGACAGCTACCTCTTAGGGTTTCATTGCTGTCAAGAGATACCATGAGTATAGCAATTCTTACAAAGAACATCTAACTGGAGCTGGTGACAGTTCAGAGGTTCAGTCCATTATTGTCTTGGTGGGAAGCATGGCAGCATGCAGGCAGACATGGTAGTGCAGAGGGAGCTCAGAGTTCTACATCTTGATCCGAAGGCAGCAGGAGGCTGAGACTCACTTGCCAGATTTGAACTTCCGAGACCTCAAAGTCTGCTCCCAGGCACACACTTCCTCCGACAACATCCCACCTACTCCAGCAAGTCTACATTTCCTAATAATGCCACTCCCTATGGGCCTATGGGGGCCATTTTATCCAAACCACCACACCCCCTTCTTTTTTTGTGGAACTCTAAATACATCAAAGATAAAATGTACTTCCATTAAAAGTATCTTAAGTGGCATCCAGATGTGGCTGCTTTGTTGCAAACCTAGTGGACTGTCACTTGGATATGGAATTGTGGTTTACAGTGCTTTCTGCTGGCTATCATTAACAGCAGAATGTCTTATGCATTCATTGTTACAATTAAAATTTTCTTAAATAAATATCACAGCCTCCAAGTTTGACAGATTTCTCTGAGAAGCCAAATCTTTTTCCTCAGTTCATATTTATAGAATTGTTACTAGTGATAAACTTTAAATATTATACTTAATACACAAGTAACCTCACATTTTCTTGTATAGAATACTTTGGTTATTCGAGCCTCCAAATACGATAAATTTGTTTCTTCTCCAGCAAACATAATTGCATTACTGCTTCTTGAATCTGAACCTTTAGTTTTATCTTATAGGAAGAGGAAGAATGTTGACCCATATAGAAGGAAAATACTTTCATGCTTTTACTTTGAGTTTTAAACATCCAGTTAAAGTTGCTCGGAAATACCAGGCTGTTTACATAACGGTTCCAGTATGTTATGTAGGTCTTCCCAACCTAGATTAAAGGGGGAAAAAAAAAGCAGCTCAAGTCCCACCTTTTGCAGTGAACAGCTGATTCTGTTTTCCCTTCTTAGCCAATGGTGATCAGATATTTCAGAAGGAAACTGGGTGAGTCATCTTCTGCAGATAAGCTGAAATATTAATAGTTCTATCTCCACCAGGCTCTCCTGCAGCCAGCTAGCAAGACTCCCACTGAGCCCTGCCTGAGAAGCCATTCCTAGCAAGTCAGCCTGTAAAGCAGTTGGATTTGAGAGATTCTGAAACTGATTACGTTAAATAGTACACTTGACTTTGCATTTTAATAGATTATTTTCCTTTCCAGTTCTTGGCTTGTGCGAGTTTTTAGGACAGATGGACTTAAAACCTGCCTGACTGTGGACCCCTCACAGGAACCCCTGCAGTGGTAAGTACCCACGGTCCCGGAGGCTGCATGTGCTTTTCTCGTGTTACCGACGCTACGGGGTCTTGGGGAGAAATTCGTGCACGGATCGTGAGTACCATTAGTGTGTAGTTCAGAATTTGGGGTCTAGTGGTCTAGTAGCGCCTATGCGCATCTTGGGAAAGCTCCTAGCAGGGAAAGCGCTGAGCCTACTTGCGCCACCAGGGGACGCCATACTCGTTCTGCAGTCACTCGCTGAGTCTTGGCTCAGCGCACTGCTAGGCTATAGTCGAGGTCTTCTGGAACCCGCGTCAAAACCGAAAGCCAAAACAGGAGACTATCGGCGCGGAACAAGCCAGTAGGACCTTGCGAAGGAGACTAGGAAAGAACTTCCGCAGCCGTTGGGCGTGGGGCGGAGCTTCCGGTCTGTTTTTTTAAGGAACATATTTGAGGGCGGGACTTCCGGAAGTACCGGAAGTGCGGGCGCGCCAGTTCGGGTCGCCGGGTCGTGTCAGTGAGGGAATAGGCCGATTTTCTTTGCTGCTCTGGGTCTGTCCTGGGAGCCTCGTCGGGGGGCATCTACGAATTGAGTGTGACCTAGGCTGGTTCCAGTTGGACGCGAGTGCTGCTGCTGTGACAGGTGACGCCATCTTCTCCGCTGTCTGTCTTGGCATCTTTCTCGGGTGCTCGGGGGATGGATGTAAGGTGTCGGGGTGGCGGTGGGGACGAGGCTTCGAGGTAGACGAAGGATACAGTTCTAACCCTGCGCACTCTCTCTGGCTCCCTGTGTACTCAAATGGCGACTACCTGGCTGCCTGTGTCCTGGGGGAAGCCCAGGTTTTCGAAGATGGTGGCCTTCGATCCCGCAAAGACGGGGTATGGCCTCTGGGAAGGAGGAAGGGTAGGGGGCGGAGAGTGAGGGATAAGCAGATGCTGAAGTCGTAAAACCCCGCCACGTCTTTGTTTCTCTTTCTGAAGACTTCTCTTTTTCTTCCCCTACACTTCCATCTCCGAAGTTTTAAGGCATCTTATGGGCCAGTTTTACCAAAAAGTTGCATAAATTTGTCATTCCAATTCACGAGCAGACATAACCAAACGATTGATCAGGTTCTTAGAGGTTTTATTATCTAACTTGAACTCTTCGACGTTTCTTGTGCTTGAAGACTAGGACCGTTAGCTCTACACCACTCTCTTGACCGGATGTAGATTGCTAGGGAATTTCTTTGAAGTTCAGATGGGGCTTCTTTACATTGATTATTTTGGCCTACAAAGTATGTCATCAAAGCATTACTGAAACCTTTTCACCTCTAAGCAATACAGCTGGTGATAATAAGCCTCCAGGATACTTCTCCTTTTTCTAAGAAATCTTCTATTATACTACCTTCCTTGCTGTTTTGGTTATTTTGCTGAACACATTCCAAGTGTTTGTAAATTCTCTTTGACATCTAGACCCCATACTTGAGCATAATATGCATAAATATGACCTGACCAAAATAAGTAGAGGTCTTCTTATTAGTGTTGCCAGTAGGAGACAGCAGGGCAGTGGCCAGTGGCCACATGTAATAACAGTGTGACCTTGATGTTTATGACTGCTACATTTTTTGCAGTTGGAAGGTTGTGTATATCAAACTTTCTTGCAGAAATTTCTGGACACAAGACCTAAGTATGTTTCCTTCGATTTTCTTACTTTGTGTCAATACTCCTTTTTTGTATAGGTATGTTGGTTTGTTAACTTACTTTGCCCTTGATTTGAGCTTAAAATCCTTAGGGTTGGGTATTTCCTCCAGTAGTGATACTAAGAGTTTTGTTAGTTGTCCTGTCCCAATTTCTCCAAGGAAAGATGTGCTTTCTAGATTTGAATTTCTTTTATTTTGGTTATTAAGATAAAAAAATTCTTGGTAGTAGCGTATTTAATTACTGATGCCTGTCAGCTCAGTGTCATCCTTAGACTCAATAAGTGTGCATCCTGTGCCTTCATCTCATCAGTGACAGAACATTTTAAGTAACTTAATTCTGGTGACAGATTTCCAAGGTTGCTTGTAGAGACCATTCTCTCCTGTTACTGGTTAGATATTGCAGTGGTGTTTCAGCCTTCTAGAAGTTAATTTTAAAAGTACTATTACAATAAACACTTAAAACGTTAATAATATTAATACCTTTATTGAACTTCTGGATGTTTGGCATTTTATAGTTTATACTACCATCTGCAAATTATATAACCATTCTTTTATGTATAACTAACATTTTTTTGAAATAAACTGGGTATTTATTTAGAAACAAACCAGGTTTTTTTTCTTGTTGAAAGAAAGTTAAAGTTCTTCCTCCAAGGTATGAAATGGAGAGTAATGTTTTCTATCATTTCAAGTAAAAGCATAAATTAAGAGTTTGTTGTATTGCTTGTAAAAACTACTTGAACCCTTTTTGGTTGTATGGACTTATTAACAATCTGCTGCTGTAGTTTGTAACACCTTACTATTGAACATACATACTAAAAAGAGGCATTTGAAAAGAGAGGAAGCTAAAGGTTCATCGGTGCTGTTTAATGTTAAATCATTTGCCAAGGTGGTGAATTATGTTAACAGTGTGCGCAGATTTTATTCATTTGTTAAGTATGTTGCACTAAAGCTGGATGTATATTGTCCTGCCTTGCTCACAAACAACAGAGGAGCATATGCCTATGGCAGCATGTAATAAGGGCAAATGAATTTGACAGGCCAGTCAGTCCGGAGTGAAGGAGGAAACTGTATTGCAGCTTTACATTTAACGTACTGATCTGTCTTATTGAGTTGAGTGAATTGATGTGTTTTGAAAGAAAGTAATTACCTTTTGGAGCTTCAGATTTGTTTCTTCTTAAAAACATATATAGGTGAAGTAGTGTATAGTAAAAGTAACTTTGTAAAGTAATTTTTTTTGGTGTGGTGCTGGTGATGAAACAAGGTCTCAGCCACGCTTAGCAATCAGCCTCCTTCCCTTTGAGCTACATCCCACCCCAGACCTTTTCTCTTTCTCTCTGTGTAGCCTTGGCTGTCCTGTCCTGGGACTGTCTATGTAGGCCAGATTAGACTGGCCTTGAACTCAGAGCTCCACCTGCTTCTACCCAACCCCTTGTTTCCCCCAGTGCTGGGATTAAAGGCATGTACCATTATGCCCAGGTAGACTTATCTTATTTTCAGAGTGAAAGAGTTTTCTTTCTCTTTTCAGTTACCATTTTAATACTGTTTAGTTTGTAAAATCCCATCAGACTATGAATTGAATTTGAAAATTCTCCTTCACAGTAGTTTTGTGTGAGGATCAGTGCCTCTGTAGTTCTTGATCAATTTCAGTCTCATAAACAACAGTTTGTGGTAGTTTTTCAACCTCAAGTCTTCCCACAGTCAATTTTCTCCCCTTTACTCTTCATTCTTTCTGTTTTCACTTGTTAGCTTGGGTTCTGTGTATACCATTTCAGTATTTCTTTTACAAGTGATTACTACCTTGTGTGCCTTCTTGCTAGGGTAACAAACCTTAACCTCTGAATTTTTTAGTAATTCAAACATTTAATTAATTGTGTCTGCATGAGTGCCATGTGAGTGGAGTGGCCACAGAAGCCAGAAGAGGAAATCAGATTCTCTAGAGCAGAGGTTCTCAATTTGTGGGTTGTGAGTTTTACAGAGGTTGCCTAAGACTATTGGAAAACAAAGCTATTAACATTATGATTCATAATAGTAGCAAACTTACAGTTATGAAGTAGCAACGAAAGTAATTTTATGGTTGGGGGTCACGACAATGTGAAGAACTGTATTAAAGGGTTGCAACAGTTGGAAGGTCGAGATGATGCTAGAGTTGGAGTTGCTGCTGGTGGTGAGTTGCCTGACTGCTCCTGCAGAGAACTCGGATCCTCTGAAGATCAGCACGGGCTCTTAAGCTCTGAGTCATCTTTTGATTTTTTGGGGGACAGGGTTTCAGGTAACCCAGGATGGGCTTGAACTCTTTTTTCAGCCAAGGCTGGATTTGAGTTTTGATCCTCCTGCCACTTCCTCTCTAATTACTTTTTTGTTAATACCAGTACATGGTTTGGAAGCTGTTTTAGTTAGGGTTTCCATTACTGTGAAGAGACACCATGACCAAGGTAACTCTTATAAAAGACATTTAATTGGGGCTGGCTTACAAGTTCATAGGTTCAGTCCATTATCATCAACTTGGGGAGCATAGCAGCATCCAGGCAGGCCCGGTGCTAGGGGAGCTGAGAGTTCTACATCTCGTTCTGAAGTCAAACAGGAGAAGACTGTCTCTAGGCATCTAGGAGGAGGGTCTCAAAGCCCACTCCAACAATGACATGCTTCCTCTAACAAAGCCATGTCCACTCCAACAGGCCATACTTTCTAGTAGTGCCACTCCCTGGACCAAGCATATTCAAACCAGCACAGGAACCTTCATATACTTTCATTTTTCGATGTATCATGAATGGAAGGAAATGATGATAAGACCTGGAGTTGTTACTTTTCCTATCACTGAGTCCAACTTTCTAACACAAAGCAACTTAACCGGGGGGGGGGGGGGGGGGCCCTGTTTTGGTTCACTGTTGAGAGGAATGCAGCCCATCAAGGCATGTTGTCGGGAGTGTTCCAGTCCATGGCACCAGTCAGGAAGCATACAGAGTTGGTGCTCTGCTAAGCTTTCTCCTTCTCTTTCATTCAGTCCTGGATCCCAGCCCAAGAGGTGCAGAACTAAGATGTGTGTCTTCCTTTCCACTCTCTTAATTTTCTCTCACAGATACGATCAAATGTGCGTTTCATTAATGTCCTCTGTATTTAATTCAGTTAAGTCAGCAGGCATAGGACCAGTACAGATTGCTGCGGGGAAGGTAGAGGTTATAAATACAGAGGCAAAAGTAAAGATGAGGAAGTTGTCACAGAGAAAGACTGACGACGATTACAGCTACCAAGAGGAGCTGGTGTTCCTAGTGTAGGAGCTACAGGTACAGAGACTGAGTGTGAAGTTGGGGGTGTAGACATGTCTGGAAGGTCCAGTGCTGGTCTTGGCTTCCACATTGCATTTTTTAACCTGGGGGCTAACTTTCCTAGGTATAGTCTGCTTTTCAGGCTATTAACCATAATATCAGTGGCTGTTAGAAGATACTAGTCAACGTCATATGGAAAAAAAGCACCTGACAAGTTATTGGGTTCCAACAGTGACTCATTTTTTTTCAAGACAGCTAGATGCCTGTGATCCTTGGGGTGACAGTTGACAACATATCCCAGTTACAGAAAATATGAGGCAGTAATTAGAAATAAACTGTACACATACAGTGGAATAGATGAAAAATAGACTCTCAGATAGCAAGTGGGATCTTCATATTCTGACCGTGGATCTAAAGCTACTGCAGCAGCAGTCAAAGAAACAGAGTCACCCAGTTTTCTTGAAGAATCAATGAAGAACTTTAATTGGATGTTTGACTACATGGTGGAAACTGCATTTTCTTTCCTGTCTACTGTTCTTTCAGATGTTTCCAAACCTTCACAGATAGGAATTGTAGGTGAAAATCCTAAATCCAGGATTCTTATGGAACCAAAAGTCAGTTGACACATGTTGCTCTACTAGAGAGAGACTGAATATTGTCGTTAGTTTACCAAACTCAGCATGCTGCATGTCTGTGTGTTCACTAATAACATGCCAGCATAGAGGCCCCTGGAATGATAAAAGATCTTTCCTACTTTCCCACCAATGATGAGGTTAGAACTCTGGAAATAAAAACACTGTGTTTGGGGAAAAAAGGGGCTGGGGAAAACTAACAAATAATTTCCCATAGAGAAAAAATGAAGTCCAGTTAGGAGCACTGGGCATTATCCATAAAATGAATAGAAGACTGAAAGATGGACAGAGGTAAATAGCCTGACTAGGTAAGTCCCTGGGATCTGAATCGTGAGGTACAATTTAGTTCCCTTTTCCATTACGTGTTCCCAGTTTGATGCTGTAGAAGTCTGCAACCTAGAGGCAGCAAAGGACTCAGGCAAAGAACAGCACAAAACTGAAGAAAGAAAGAAATCAACTAGATCTATGTCCGTGACAAATAGTGATGGCTCAGCAGTTCAGAGCACGTGCTGCTCTTCCAGAGGAGCATGGTTTGATTTCTAGCAGCTACATGGCGGCTCATAACCATCTATATAACTCCAGCTCCCTGGAATCAGATGTCCTCTTCTGGCCCTTGTGGGCACTAGGCATACATGTTGCACACAGGCAAAACACTCATAAAATCAAAAGGGGCTATTCCTCTGTAGTGGTAAGGAAATTGTGGGGAATAGTAATGAGCGTCCTTAGCTGGGCAATTTGAGTGAGAGCCAAGAGGAGGCAGAGTGCTATCACTCAGAAGTAACTAGGAGTCTTCCTCATGTGTGGTACATGAAGAGGGAGCCTTGATTCAGTTTCTGCCTCCATATTCATCGGCAGCAATAAGCAATGCTCCTGTTTGTCAAAGCAGTTCTAGGAAAGGCCTGCTATAACAAATCCCAAGACTGATAGCATCATGTCCAAAAGGTCAGAGGTTCAATGAAAAATCAGTTGGTATATGAAGAACCAGGAAAATCTCAAACTCAATTGAAGAAGGGGGAGGGAGGGAGAGAAATTAAAAAAAAAATGCTAGCACATATGAAACTGATTAGAATTATTGATAGGAATTTAAAATTTACCATCTTAAAACTTTTAAGATCTAGATATAAAATCATGCAACTACAGACGTCTGATTTTTGACAGGTGTCGAAAAACATATTTATGTTGGCAAAACTATGTATCCAAATGTAGATGATTGAAATTAGAACCTTCTACCCTGTCAAAATCTTCTCAAATGAATTAGAGATATTCATGGAAGATGGGAAACTTGAAACTGCTAGAGGAAAACAGTTGAAGATCCAGTCTTAGTCAAGAGCTCCCCGATCAGGACTCTTCTTCAGTTCTTTCAGAAATAATAGCAAGGATTGACAGATGAGGTTTCAGTAATTAACGAGCGCTTCACAGCAAAAGAGACAGCAGAGTGAAGAGACACCATCTAGAATGGCAGGATGGGTTTTGGATACCTATTCATCTAACAGAATATTCAGAATATAGAGAATTTTTAAAAATTAGATATCAAAAACCAACCTAATCAGTAAAGTCAGTAAATGGGAAAATGAATTGAACAAATACTTTTTTTTAAAAGATAATTTTACTCTATCTTTTTTGTTTGTTTGTTTGTTTGTTTTGGTTTTTGAGACAGGGTTTCTCTGTGTAGCCCTGGCTGCCCTGGAACTCACTCTGTAGACCAGGCTGGCCTCGAACTCAGAAATCTACCTGCCTCTGCCTCTCAAGTGCTGGGATTAAAGGCGTGCACCACCACTGCCCGGCTACTCTATCTTTTTAACATTTTCTGTGCATTGGTGTTTTGCTTAAATATATGTCTGTGTGAGAGTGCCAGTTCTCCTGGAACTGGAGTTACATACAGGCAGTTGTGAGCTGCCCAGTTGCTTGGGAATTGAACCCTGGTCCTCTGGAAGAACAGCTAGAGCTCTTACCTGCTGAGCCTTCTCTCCAGCCCTAAACAAATATTTTTCGGATGAAGAACTACAAATGGTTCAACGTCTTTATCTATCAGTGAAATGCAAATCCAAACTAGATTGAGATTTTGTTTCACCCAGTTAGAATGTCTATTGTCTTAGTTGGCTTTCTTCTTTCTTCTAATTTCTTATTCATTTTTCTTCTTTTTTGGTTTTTTGAAAGTGTTTGTGTAGTTCTGGCTGTCCTGCAGTTTGATCTGTAGACTAGGCTGGCCTCCAATGGGAGATTCCCCTGTCTCTGCCTCCCAAGTGCTGGTATAAAAGGTGTGTGCTACCCCCGCCTGGCTCCTAGTTGGTCTTCTATTGCTGTGATAAACATGACCAAAAGCAACTCTTGAAGAAAAGGGTATATTTGACTTATAGTCTATTCCAAAGCAGGAACTCAAGGTAAGAATCTGGAGATAGGAGCTGAAGCGGAGGTTATGGAGGAGTGCTATTTACTGGCTTATTCCCTTTGGATTGCTTAGCCTGCTTTGCTTTCTTGTACAACCCAGGGGTGGTACCTTCCACAGTGGGCTGGGCCCCACTACATCAATCTGTGGAGGCTTACTCTCACTTAAGAGTCCTTCTTCCCAGATATGTTTAGATTTGTGTCAAGTTTTATCAACCAGTACACCTATCTTCAAGGAAAAAAAAAAAGAAAAAACCAAATGTTGTTTAGGATGTAGAGAAAAGGGGGATTCTGTATACAATTGGTGGGAAACAGTACTATAAACCAAACCAGTTCATCCACTATGTAAATCAGTGGGAGAGTCCTCAAAAAGCTAAATATGTTTTATAAGTAGTATTGTATAGTCCAGCTCTATAGCTCTTTGGTATGTATTATAGATTTGGACCACAGAGTCACAGCATTCTGTTTCTTGTCTTTTGTTGTTGTTGTTGTTTTTTAATGTGAGTTCAAGTGAAGAAGTTGAGTTGTCAGCCTTATGTGGATTTTACCTGCCAAGCCATCTCCATCTCCAGTGTAACAGTCTAAACATGTTTAGGTAATCTACAAGAAAGTAGAAGTAGGAGAAGAGTGAATTTCTGTGGGTATCAGTATTGATCTGTATTTGAAAATAATCAATGTAATTAAACCCTGTATAGGCTGGGCAGTGGTGGCGCATGCCTTTAATCCCAGCACTTGGGAGGCAGAGGCAGGCGGACTTCTGAGTTCGAGGCCAGCCTGGTCTACAGAGTGAGTTCCAGGACAGCCAGGACTACACAAAGAAACCGTGTCTCGAAAAAAACAAAACCCAACAACAACAAAAAACCCCTGTGTAGGTCAACAAAGAAAATGTATTACCTCATATTAATTGGTACAGAAAAAGCATGACAATTCAGGACTTACTTGTGAAATAAGCTCATAGAAAATACATGAGAAAGAAATCTCAACTGAGTATATAATTATAGAAAACCCATAGCTAGCTTTATTCTCAGGGGCGAAGGCATTCTTACCTTGAAATTATAAAAGGTCTAGCCCAAAGTGTAAGGAAATAAAACTTGCAAATTAAAAAGAAAGAAATGTTCTTGTTCTTTCAGGAGTAATTTACATTAAAAAACACAACAGAATAATCTACATAATACTTTTTTTCTAAAATTTATAAAGAAATTCATTAAGAATGCGATATACAAGCTCAAATACACAGGAATCTTATATTTATATATTAACAGCTAACATGTGAAAACAAAGGAAAATAGTGTTTAAAATGCTTAAAAACTTTAAAAAAGATATTGTAGTGAATTGGGTTGATCATTTAGCAGTAAACTAGAAAAGAATTAACAAAAAGTGGGTGGTTTGCTTTCCTGTATGTGCCTGGTGATGGTGGAGGCCAGAAGAAGGCCTCGCTGTAACTGGAGTTACAGAAGCTTGTAAGCTAGCTTGTTGGGGTGGGGAATTGAACTCTCAGGCTCTTAACCACTAAGTGATCTCTCTAACCCACAAAGCAGCAGTTTTTGAGATTGAAAAAAGTCTCAGATTTAGAGAGACTTTTGAAAATTAGAAGGTTAGATTAAGGAACTAGAATAACTAAGCAGTTTTAAGAGAGATTTAAACAACAAGAAATCACTGTAACTGACCTTAACACTTGAGTTCTGTATTATTTAGTGAGCTCTAACCTTAGTAAGGAGTCCTTACCTTGTCTGCCGATTATTTCAATTTGCTGTATCAGAAATGAAGTACTTGTTTTCCCTGCTGTTGTTTAGCTTATTGCAGGAGTGACCAGGACACTACCTCCTAGAAGTAATGCCCACAGAAAGCGGAAGTTGTTCAACTGCTCGCCAAGCAAAACAAAAGCGCAAATCTCATAGCCTTTCTATACGAAGAACTAACAGCTCAGAACAAGAGAGGACTGGACTGCCAAGAGAAATGTTAGAAGGACAAGTAAGTCAGCATTGGTCAGTGCCCACTATAAAGATGACTGTTTTGCTTATAGTGTGATTGAAATAAGCTAATGCATGTAGGTCTTGAAAGCCGAAGAAAGGCTTACACTGCCAAACAGAACACAGGATCTCTCTGTCCTGAAGCTCTGTCCTGGTGTGTAGTCCAGGCTGGCCTCGAACTCTTAGAGATCCACCTGCCCCTGCCTCCCAAGTACTGTAATTAAAGGCATGTGCTATCATGCCCGGCTAAGGGTGATGTATTTATAGCAAAAAGATATGGGTATGACAATTACAATAAGGACACATTTTACTCTTTGTACAGGTTAGTTGTCTAGATTCCCAAGCAAGGTTTTTTGTTTCTAATGTTCTCAAGAAAAGGGGAGAATTAAAATTTTGATGCTCTTCCTGCTTCTGAAGTGACTTGCCTTGTCCTTGTCTCTGCTATATATAGTGAATATACTGTCCTTTGATGAGCATACTAATACATGGCTAATAATGTTAAGTTTTGTTCATATTTTTCTAGTGCCCTTATAGATGTCAAAAATGGTAGGATTTATGAAGACTATTACTGTGAAATCTAGATAAAGTAGCTAGGCTTTATTAAAATAATCACATATAGTGATAACTATATAAGAATGCACTTACACTTTTGTAAGCAGTTTTTTTCACAGTTAGCCTGTATCAGCAGTAAAGCTGTAGGATAGAAAGGCTTGAATATGAGAACTTGGCCTTTATGAACGTTGGATCTTACTAGAGCTGTGTAAGAGCTTCCTGTATGTGACTTCTCGTGTATAAACCCTGTATTCAATAACTTAGTACTGTTGACAGTAGCGCTCACCTAAAAAACCAAAGGGATTATGGCCTCTGGTAGAGTTGATACAGTGTCGATGCTGGGCAAGTAATTGTTACACTGTCTTTAGGAAATAATGATGAAAGGTGGCTACTTGTTCAGTGCAGCTTCTTTTTTCCCCCACAGTATACACACACACACACACACACACACACACGCACACACACACACGCACACACACACACGCACACGCACATACGCACTTTTTTTCCTCTGTTGTTTTGAGAAAGGGTCTTGTTATACATAGGCCAGTCTGACTTTGAACTTGGGTTTGGAATCCTTTTGTCACAGTTGCTCATGCCTCGGGATTACAGGTGTGCTGTGTGTTATCTCACTTTTGCCTAAATGTTTCTCACCTACAGTTGGTTGACTTTACAGTTGTAGAACTTTGAATATAGAAGCTCAACGCTGCCCTGTCTACTTTATATCAAAAGTTATATTTTAACTAGTGATGGATATAAAAAGCATAAAAATACTTTGACAGTATTTTCCTTTGCTAGGTTGTAACAAAGTACTATAAACTAGGTAGTGTAGACAACATATATTTTTTTCATAATTCTAGAAGATGAAACCCAAGATCAAGGGTCTCCAAGGCCTCACTTGTAGCTGTGACTTCCACCCCTTGCATCCTCATGGCCTTTTCTCTTTGCGTGTTTGCTTAACTCTTAGAAGAACACCAGCAGTCATAATCAATTAGGATCACCGTCATGACTGCATTTTACTGGTCACTTCAGTAAAGGTCTTGACTTCTAATAAACTTATGTTCAAGGGCATTCAGGTTTGGGGCACAGTTAATCCATTTGAGAGAGTAAAACTACAAGTGCGTGGTAGGATTGCTTTGTTGATGGCAGTGTTGTCACTTTTAACAAAGGTGCCACAAGGTGGATATAACATGTAGTCAGTTAAACATGGTTGGTGTGACTTAGGGTTTAAAGTGTAGATTAAACAAACATGAATTACATTGACATTTAAATAGTCATATGTGGCTGATGGCTACTAATTGGTTAGTATAGATAAATAATCTAAAATGGTTCTTAAAAGTTTTTTGATTTACTTATATTTCTACCAGTGAAAATTCTACTTTGTTTGCTGGCACATTCTAGAGTTACTTCCCACATGAGGTGAATTTGTTTGTAGTGTTTTCTTCCATTGTGATGTAGTATAAGGTGATCCTTGTAACTCACAGTAACCAGTTACAAGGTAATTCACAGTTCTTTTCATCTGAGCAATGCAGACCTGTACGCTGCTCTTACGGTTCTCTAAGTTTGCCATGTTAGCTAGATAGTGCTTATTGTTTACTGAGTACAGTTATTTGAACTGGAACCAACCAGCATGATCTGTGAGTGGCTGGTGAGACCCTCCCCTTTACAGGAGGGAAGGGAGTGATAGTGTTTGGCGCTGCAGCTGGCATGGTGGGTCTAAGTGGACTGCTGTGGGCGAGTAGAGACGGGCTGAGGGTCAGTAGCCTTGATTTACAGGAGTAGTCATTTAGTCACAGTGTAGCAGTGCTCTTTCCGTTATTAGGGAACAGTATCAAAAGGAAGGTGAAGATTAATCTCCATGGTACTATAGTAGGTCAATCTTTAAGTTGTAAATGTGAAATTTTTTAGAGGGATGTTAAAAGTTGCCATCTCTACCAGATTCATTGTTTAAGCTAACATGTATATATTTTAAGTGGTTTATGAAATTTATGTGAGAATACATGATTATTGAAAAACTAAAATTGTGGAAATGTTTACTTTTTCCTGAAATTTATATATAGTTCTAAGAAGTGAACTTGAGGTGGAATTTAATAAATATTGTGTGTGTGACTATTTTTTAAATTTGTAGCTTATGAGGTCTCAGTAATTGGTGTTGTATATAAACTTGAAAAATCACTTGAAGATGATACTGATGTTACTTAAATATTAGAATATTAATATAGAAGTATTTGAGATTTTCATTTTTGAAATATGCTTTTTGTGCTGGGGAGAGGTGGGGCACACATACTAATTATTCTGTAGATAGCACCCTTGTGGAGAGTATAGTAGAATAGATAGGCTTATCAATTAGTCTTCTGTTTACTTAGTGTTTGGTAAAAGTAAAGTATTTCGTGAGCTTACTTCACCTTGGAAGTGTTCATATTTTAAACTTGGAAGTATGCTGGAGATGTTGCTGCTTCCTGTTGCCTTCATTTTGCTTTTGAGACTGGAAGTGGGAGGGGAGATGTGCAAAGGCATGAGTGTGGCCCGAATGGGTACCTGCTTTATATGTTGACTAAACTACTAGACATTTGTTCCTATGGTGGGCAAGATCCTCCCCCCCATCTTTATAATTAATGTTTTAGTTACAGTGTTATAGGAAGTCTCTAGTTTGTTTTAGTTGAAGCACAGTGGATCTAATTAGGTGCATCTCTCTCTTAGTGTGTATAGTCCATTGAAATAGTCAATTGAAGTTCCTGTTGTTTTTGTCGATTTGTTTTTTTAATAGCCTGTGGTAGAATCTAAAGGCTATTTGTAGCATAGCTTCACATTTGGGAATGGCCTTCTCTACAAACTTGGAAATTTTTGAATAAAGTAAACTCATGTTCCCTCTGTGTCAATGCAAAACAGAGCTTTTCCTTCAAAGGGGAAAGGTGTACTCTGAGTCTAGTATGTGTGACTAAGGCCCAAGAACACAGATTATGCTCACCTGTATAACACATTCTGTTGTGGAAGAGAGCACAAGGCCTTTTGTAGTCATGTAACAGAAGAATGTCATCAGTGCACTAACCCACTTGTATTCTTCGGACATCTGGTAGGTTTTTCCTTCAATGGAAAAAGGTTTACAGCAGGCTACAGCAAAGCAGGGGAGTCTTTACTGTAGGTTTCGGATGTTCTGACAGACTTAGCTGTAGGTTTGGTGAATGCTTGAGGTGTGTGCAGTTTTAACTCTAAAAGGATTACCTAGCTGTCAGGATGTTAGGTAGGCACAGAGGTTGATAGTAAATAGCTGTGAAAAAGGACAGAAGGCAACTCCAGATTTTACAGGTTCTCAATCTGAAACATCCCATTTCCACAATTAAGATGTTTGGTTTTCCAGTCAGTCTTTAAGATCTGCAGAGCATATACGGCTTCCTTAGAGAACTATGTTCACATGTGTAAAAGGAAAAGTTATGTTATTTTGTGTTCTTAAATCTTTTATTCCTCTAGGAATACATTTTGATAATTGTTTCCTTTGTAGGAACTTGAATCTTAAATGTTTTTGAGTCTTGGGAATTGAACCCATGTTAAATACATGCTCTCACTGAGCTACATCCCTAGCTAAATTTTAAACTCTGAAACCTTCATATGTATAAGAAATAAAATATATGATGTTGTAAAGTAAGAGTTTAAGATAAACGATAAATCACTTTGAAAAAAATATATTGTTGCTTGATATTAAAGTGATCTATTCATTTATTCTAAACAAAAAATATTTGTCTTGTACAGGATTCTAAACTGCCATCCTCAGTTCGAAGTACACTGCTGGAACTGTTTGGCCAGATAGAAAGAGAATTTGAAAATCTTTACATCGAAAACTTAGAATGTGAGTATCTCCTATCTTAATGTATTTTTAAAAAACATTATCTATCCATAGAAGTCTTTGAGAACAGTACTTGTGGGTTGAGATTGATCACTCTATTCACTTTCTATTTGTTGTTAAACATGCTGACTTGATCATATTATTGGGGCTGGAGCAGTGGTTCACCTGTTAAGAACATTGGCTGCTCTTCCAAAAGTCCAGGGTTCAGTTCTCAGCATCTGCAGGATTGCTCACAACTGTTTGTAATTTTGGTTTCAGGAGATCTGATGTCCTCTTCTGACCCCAGAGGGCACCAAACATTCATGTAGTATATGGACATACATACAGGAAGAACACCCATACACATAAAATAATATAAAAAAAAAACCTTACAGTTCTGTGGGCCTAGTATGATTCTTCCCAGGATGATGTTGAATCCTGGTAGAGTTGTGTTCCTTTCTGGAACCTCCAGGGACAATCATTTCCTGCTTATTTTATATGGTGACAGAATGTATTAGTTGTGGTTTAGGACAGGCTCCTTTGTCACCGCCTTTGGCTCATGTGCCTATCTCCTTTGGTGATGTGATGGTTCCTTTTGTTTCCTCTCTGACTTGCCTTTCTGTTCTAGTCCTAAGGATATGTGATTTGATTGAGCCCCTAGATATTCCAGGATAACCTCTATACCTGCAGAACCCCTGAACTTAGAAGGTAACATGTTAACAGGCATCATAGGGCTGGGTCCTTAGAATCTTTGAGGGGGTTATCAGATCAAACAATCAAAATTGCAGTTTTATACAAAATGAATACATTTCATTTTTTATATACCAAGTGTACCATAAATTATATAACCTTTAATATATCTTCTCTTGAAAATTCCCAAAAACTTGTTGATGTATTAGAGGTAAATCAAAAAGAATTTTGAAATAGCTTCACTTTAGTTTTTTTTTTTTAATAAATTCTTATATGTGCTTTAAAAAAGGAAATTTCTATAACCCTTTGACCCATCATGCTATTTAAAGGAAAACATTTTCTGCATTTATATCTGCTTTGAGTTCTGATTATTATTTTTTTGAGCATGAGTAGTCTTCTTCCAGTTTGAGATGAGACCAGATGTATTAATGCTTCACCATTGGGAAATTAATATCTTTTATCCCTTTTGGTGTTCTATTATTGGATAGTTTTCATGGGGGATGTTTATAACATCTATACCATTTAAATGAACTCTCATGGAACTTTGTTCTTTCTCTACTCTAGTAAGAATTGCATAGATACTAATAAGCATCAGTTAAATTGTAGGCTGGTTTACACCTTTTAATTTCTATGATTGGATCAGTCATGAAGTAAATGCAATCTTATGTCATTCACACTTTGCTCTTGGAAAATTTAATGTTTAATATTGGGTTCTCCACATTACCTTTTTCTTGAGAACTTAGAAGAACAACAAAGATTCCAACTTTGTTACAAAATAAGTACCATGTATAGCATCTGATTTCAGGGAGTTTTTTTAATTATCAGAGTTTTAACAACTGAAGTATTTTTGGTGTTTTCATTGTAATTTAAGACATTTTTGTCACAAAGCGTTGCGCCCCCCCCCCCAGTTAAAAATAAATCTTTAAAAATTACTAATATTGGAAGATACTTTGACTTCATGTTGTCTAGCATTTAGAAAGTTTTGTAGCTTCTTGGTGCCCATAAGATAAAGTCCTTGTTGCTTAGTCTGGGTGCTGGATAGAGCCTTTGTTCTTAGCTTATTCCTGACCTTGACTTGTTTTAGACTTTGGTCATAAGTATCGTACAGTCCCAGGAGGCTTCATGGTGTTCTGGCAAGCATGTAAGCCCTAGAGCTTGGTGGACATGTGTGTAAGTCAGATCCTAGTTGTGCCAGGTTAGGACTTGGTGCTTTTAGACCAGTTACTTCCCTGGGCAAGTCTTTTATCAGTTTCATAGTGAGGATGCCTAAGGGTATTTCCTTGGTCCTCTAGTAGCAAGCAGGATCACAGTTTTCTGTATCTTCAGATACCATATCCTTTTTAATGGTCCATTTTTGTGTTTTTCTCCCCTGACACTCCCAATCCTGAATTTCCCGTTAATTTTTCATTCTGGAATGTTAAAATCTTTGTTACACATAATCCTCATGTGGAGATCTTCTATGGTCATGTACTAGTAGTTACATATTGTTACTATGTTTTTTCCTCAGTTGCAGTATCCACAGGTAAGCTATGAATATATTACTGAATTTTAGGCAGTATCAGAATGTTTTTAAGTACAAACTAGCAAAAAGGAAGCTGTGCTTAAAGAATTTGGATGTGTGCCAGTGGTGTGGTTAAGACCCAGAGAGTAACATCTTCATAGGGTCACAAGAGTGAATTTTCATTTATTTATTTATTTTTTAAAATTGGATCTCATGTAGCCCAGAGTGGCCTTGAACTTGAAATGTATCTGAGAATGACCCTGAACCTCTGATCTTGTGTCCATCTTCTAAGTGCTGAGATTGTAGGGATCCACAGCCAGTCTGTATGGTGTGAGGAGGAAGCCCGGGTCTTCATGCATGCTGGCTGAGCACTCCACCAACTGAGCTGCATCCCCACGGGGAGTGATGGCTTGAGTGTTTGGAAAGAATAAATGATCACCTTGCTTTTTAGAAAAATTTTCACATCTTTATTTTGACAATCCCAATTCAACATTCATATGTACTTTAGTTTATAAGTGATTGAATACATTTTTACATTAAAAATGTTTTTATTTCTAGTGCGCAGAGAAATTGATACTCTTAATGAACGTTTAGCTGGTGAAGGACAAGCAATCGATGGGGCAGAATTGAGTAAGGGCCAGCTCAAAACAAAAGGTAAGACATTAATTGATTGATTGATTGATTGATTTGTTTTTTCCAGACAGGGTTTCTCTGTGTAGCCCTGGCTGTCCTGGAGCTCACTCTGTAGACCAGGCTGGCCTCGAACTCAGAAATCCGCCTGCCTCTGCCTCTCAAGTGCTGGGATTAAAGGTGTGCGCCACCACTGCCTGGCAGGGTAAGACGTTTATAAAGTATTGCATGTAGGTTGCGTACCAAGGAGACTGAGATCCATGAGGGACACTGACTCTTTTGCTTTCTGCTGTCAGCCAAACTTGGAATTTGTAATTCAGGTCCAGGTCAGATGAGAAAGCCTGGGTCCCTGTTAGTGCTGCTGTTGTTCCTGTGTCTTGGTGTTTCCCTTTCTTCCTGAGACACAGCTGCACATTGCAGTGCTGTGCTTCTTGAGTTTGAGGGTGTTTGACTGTCTATTCTCTGTCTCCACAGCCAGTCACAGTACTAGTCAGCTTTCTCAGAAGCTTAAGACCACCTACAAGGCTTCCACCAGCAAGGTATGCAAGGCCCTGGCTCTGGAGCCAGTCATGTGGTGCTTGCGGTGTGCAGATGTGTACTTTAACTTGCATATTTTCCAGTTAGAAATGTGTAATAGGAAAATGTCTGGTTTCTAGAAACAACCGTTGCCAAATGGCTATAGTATATCGATGCTTAACTACTAACTTAGATTCTAGCTTCAGTGAGATCAATGTATTGTGCACTAGCAATTTTTTGTCATTAGGAGAACAACATATTTTGTATTGCTAATTGGCTTGCTAAAATAGTATATGGATTCAAAGAGATACATAATAGATAAACACGTGGGGTGAAAGTTCTATCTGGCTAAAGTTATGTTTTCATTATTATTTTTCTATTTTCTAGTACGAGAAGGCAGTGAGAGTGTGGTTGTGAGGCATGTAGGGTAGTCAGGGAGGTTTCCTTTAAAGCACTTAGACTGACCAAGTGGTGAGGAGTTAACTGCTTGGAAAACTATTGCAATAGTAGTTTGAGGTAACAGTGTACATGTCTAATTTGGAGTAGTTCGAATATATAAAAGATAAATCAATTACCTAACTTTGTCGAATGTATACTCCTTTGGTTAAATGTGAGAAGAAAAATTGAAATTTGTACTATGACTACATAACTATTACCAGCTTTTCATTTGTACAATTCATTGTCTTCGACTGGCAGGCATTTATTTGACAGGACCACTGAGGTAAACTTCAGTTAAGAGGGCAAGTCTAGCCTTTCCGCCTGCTCTCCTTATTTAAAAATTCTTGGTAATTTTTATTTAGGAGAGAACATGAGTATTGTTGACATTTTGCTACTGTGTTCTTTGATAACATCTGGAATGTAAATTGCTGTTTCATCGGATTTTTGTTTGTTGTAATGTCTAGTTCATCTTAACTTTTGAAATTTGTAATTTCAGTTTTTCTTCAAAATGAAGTGCAAAATTATGTTCTTCAGTTTTTGTTACATTATCTTGAATTAAATAGATTATTCTGATGCTTACAATTCTGTGTATATAATGTGTGGTCTTATGATTTAAAACTTTCTGGTTATTTCTGAAGTAGAGGAAGATATGCTTATATATAACAATCTTTTCCCATGAGCAATAAAAAACAAGGTTTGGACAAAGGTAAGGGCATGCACAATAATAGTATTTTGCTTTAAAATATATTAGAGTTCTATAATATTTAATAATGGCAGACATTTTAGGATTAGAATATGTCAGAAGCAAATTCTATGAACTTTACAGCAATTTGTACACTGTATGTACTCATCTTAAAAAATAGTGAAACGCAAGACATCCAAATTGAAGAGATAATTTGGTAACGATATATTCTGATTTGTACCACAGCATGGATTCTTGGTTTTAAAGCTAAGCACGAATGCAACAAGAACATGCTACAATCTAGATTCATTACTTGCCCTCCTTGTGACTCAGAGCCATGAAAGGCAAGTAGCATGTTTGGTGAGACAGTGGGAGCGCAGAAGTGTATGAAGTCAACCCACAGAGTTTCCTTTCCCTGGACAGCTCATGACTGATTGTTAATGCTTATGGGGTGGGGTGGGGGAGACACTCTATTCTGAAAACTACATTAAAGAAACCTGTGGAAATGTTTGCAAATATTCTTTAGAAAGTATTATTATTATTATTATTATTATTATTATTATTATTTTTGTAGTGGAAAAGGGCCTTTCTGATTTGTTTTTAAAGTGCTTTAGGCTGTGTTCTAGTTAAAATGATTTAAGATTATGGGAAAACATCATACCATTGTTTATTCTGCTGTTGTTCTGTTCAAATGTTCCTTCTGGTAATTCAGTTCTGTCGTTGGGTCTCTTTGTAATCTTGACCAAGTCAGTGTTTGTCTGTTTTTTATTGAGACAGGGCCTCTCTATGTAGTCCTGACTGTCCTAGAACTCCCTATGTAGACAAGGCTGTCCTAGAACTCAGAGACTCTCCTGCCTCTGCCTCATGACTGTTAGGATTAAAGGCGTGCTCCATCATGCCCTGCTTAAGTCAGTGTTTTTTCTTGTTCTTTCTTTTTTTAAAAGCGTAATGAGCATATGGCAGTAGCATGAGGGATGGTATGCCACAGCATTTATGAGCATCGTGTTATCCTGTATCTGACGTATGAAGTTGTATTTCCATGGTAGTGCTCTTCATTCTTCCCTGTGAGTGGGATGGCTAAGAAATGTGGCTCACTAGTTTTCTATACTAGCATTCTTTACATTAGAAATGTTGAGAGACTTGGAAAATGTTATTTACCATAACTTAGAAGGGTGGCAAGTTTTATGTGATTTAAAATGTAATACCGTTTGGCATCTCAGTGGCGTTTTCTGTAAGCAGAAGCTCATATATGTTGTAGAGGGATACTTTGTTGATTTTAGGAGGAGACTAGCTTTCAGAAAGGTAAGAGGACAATGATGGGTTTGAGATTTGAGCGAGTCCTTTCTGTTTTTTTGTAAAGTTTAAACCAAGTAAACAGAATTGATTTATATTACTTGTAAAATGTCAGTCTCTTCATTGAGCTTTCTATTTTTGTCTTTACTGTGTTGGAGATAATCTGAAAGCACGTTCCTAATTGATGTAACAGATTGTATATACATATATTTATGTAAGAGTAAATTTATATACATGTCCTGGGCTCTGCAAAACTATTGTTAAAAGCAAGCTGTGTGAATTCATTAAATTCTCATTTTGTTTTTTTGCTTGCTTTTATAGATTTGTTATTTTTTATATTTTTTTCTGATTTACTTAACAGTTGAAACTTTTTCCTTTATCTGAGAGCAGCTTCATGACTACAAAGTTTAAAGAAAATTTTCCATTTAGTTTCTTTCTCACTTTTTGTTCTTCATAAAGGAATATATAAGAATATATTTATTATAAGGGAAATGAGAGTTGTTTGTTATGTGTCATTAAATGGGACAGTATCTTACTGTGTGTTCCTTGTCTGTATCACCTCATGTCTGTTTCCATTAGAATATTAGCTTCTAAAAGGCCTTTGTATCTCTCAGCTGTCTCCATCTAGTGTGGCACGTGGCTTCAAGCAAGTGCTCAATAAACGATCTTTAACAAACCTCCTCATCTGTTACAAGTGTGGTCTTTTGCTTCCTCTTACATCGTGGGCTTTTTTGTTTTGATATGTGGTTGGTGTAAAATGATCAAATTCAGAAAAACATGAAAGTGCTTTTGTGAGCACACTCTTTAGTGTTAGTAAGTTGGGATTTTTTTCCCCCCTCAACTTTTCCATGTCTGTCTTTGTCTCTGTCTGTCTGTTTTGTCTTTGTTTCTTTGTCTCTATGACTCTCCCTCTTTGACTATCTCTCTTGGTCCCTATGACCCTGTCTCCCTGACTGATTTATATTCTCTCTCTCTCTCTCTCTCTCTCTCTTTCTCTCTCTCTCTCTCTGTCTCTGTCTCTGTCTCTGTCTCTGTCTCTGTCTCTCTGACTGTCTCTTTCTCTTTGTGTATGTTTTAAAGATGGGGAATTTTGTTTGGTGATTGAGATTTGGGGATGAATGTCTTCCAAGGCCCATCTGTGCCTTTCTTCTGCAGTAAGATGCTAGCTGCCTACCTGACTTCTGTCCACTAGTGGAGTGGGGAAATGTTTCTGAAGCCTCTAATAGCAAGCTGAGTGAGACCAGTCAGTTCTGTTCATGCTTATATTCTGGTGGTGTTTAAAATATTCTGTTAAGTGACTTACACATTTTTTCAAGACATCTTTTTGCTGTTTGCCTTTTTTAACTTAGAGAAATTTAGTTTAATTTAGTACGTGTTTAAAAGTGCTTCTTTTCTTCTCAATTTAGATTGTCTCCAGCTTTAAGACTACCACATCAAGGGCCATCTGCCAGCTTGTGAAGGAGTATATTGGGCACAGAGATGGCATCTGGGATGTCAGTGTTGCAAGGACACAGCCTATTGTTCTTGGGACAGCATCTGCCGGTGAGCCAGACTCTGTTGCAGCTGGCTTATTAAGATATGACTTTGATTGATAACTGATGGAAGTGACTTTCAGTTGGCAGTAGCAGAGCAGTTCTGGAAACAACAGTGTGCTGGAAGAGTTATTAAAGCGAAAGCTTTCGGATCCACTTGCGGCAGGATATGGTAGAGGCAAGAGGACCTCAAGTTCTAGGCCACCATGGGCTGTGATATGAAATCTTGTCACACTGTCTCTCAAACAGAAACTGAGATGAAGAGCAAAGAAGGAAAACAGAAAGGAAAAGGAAAAGGGAAAGGAAAAGCTTTTGTTTTGACTTGGGAGCACCCTTTTTGTTCTGAGACCTGTAGACTTCCTTTGGTGGTAGTAGTAGTAGTCTTATGGGTGATGTCACGGCCAAGGCTGGATGCCTGGTTTTTGAGAAAGGGGATACTTGGCTTTAGCTAAGTATGCATTATGTGAGGGTATCAGTATTTGGGTGGTAGGAACCACATGGTGGGATATTTTTTAAATATTAGATTTTTTTTTTTTTGATTCTTTGTTCTTCTTCAAGCTAGAGGTGCTTCTGATTTGGGGACAGGTTTGTCATTTTTCTTCCACCAATGAAAGTGTTATGCTAGCAACCAAAAAATGCATATCCTCTATCCTGATTTGTTGTCAGAGGAGTTTGGTCTTCAGGGGTCACACTACCAGCATGATAGTTTATCAAACCTCAGACTAGTCTAACGTATATCTCCTCAGATAAAATTGCTAGAATTAAAAATGATGGCTGGCTGTGGAAAGTGGTGCTCTTAGCTTTCGAGAAGTTATTTTCTCACCAGAGTCTAACTCTTTTTTTTTTTTTTGGTTTGGTTTGGTTTTTTGAGACAGGGTTTCTCTGTGTAGCCCTGGCTGTCCTGGAACTCACTCTGTAGACCAGGCTAGCCTCAAACTCTCGAACTCAGAAATCTACCTGCCTCTGCCTCCCAAGTGCTGGGATTAAAGGCGTGTGCCACCACCGCCCGGCCAGAGTCTAACTCTTAAAAGTAAAAGGGCACAAGAAACTGTGTTCCAGAGTTTATCTTCCTGATTGAAATTGTTCTTATACTTTAAACATCTTGGATGATTTGAAGGTATTAGTTAAGAAAAAGAGAGAATGACTTTTATATTTCTGAAATTTCATTTGGATAAGTGGCAACTATTTTTTTCTCAGAATTTTCTTTCCTCCCTTAGTGCCAAAGGACCAGCCATTATTTCACATAATTGAACTGAATTTGGAGACTTAATTGATTGTGAGAATTACAATATGTTCTGGGAAGTTCTAATACTTGGATAAAATAATGGAACTGTGGTATAACTGTGGCTTCTGTGTGCCAGTTGCACACATGATGGCCCCTGTGTAATGGTCTAATAGGAAACCAAGTCCTTTTGTCCATTTCTGGTTCTGTGGCTTTAGACAAGCCACAGCCCCGTGCCTTTCTGATAGTGGAAACTTTTCTTAGCTCAGTTGCATTGTACAGAGTAGGAGAATCAAAGTTGCAGGAACTATTTGGGGGCTGGAGAGATGACTCAGTGCATACGAGCACTGGCTGTTCTTCTAGAGACCCAGTACCCACTCAAGCTCACAACTGTCTTGTAAGTCCAGTCCCAGTGGACCCAGTGCCCTCTTCTGTCCTTCAAGGGTACTGGATACAAAGGCATACATGCAGACAAAATGCCCATCCACATAAAATAAAAATAAAAATAACTGTTAGGGGTGATGTGACTTACCATTTTGAGAGCATTACTGTATTTTTAAAGGGACTATAAAATTAGTGATGACTAAGCTATGACTTCTTCTTGTAGATCACACAGCTTTGTTGTGGAGCATAGAGACTGGCAAATGTCTTGTCAAATATGCTGGCCATGTGGGCTCAGGTAAGCATTAACCTCAGTGAGCACAATAATCAGAAGCTGTATTTCACCTTGTTCCTCTTTTTAAAATTATTCATAGTACTAACTATATTGGTAGAAAGTTTTACACTTGATATAAAATTTTAATATTTTGTTGGTTGACATACAGTCTAATGTGGTTAAAGACTAGAGTAAACTTTTTTACTTTGTATGAATAATAAAGGGAAAAAGATTAGTGCTTAAGTGCTGCTGTGTATTATTAGTCTACATTGTATAGCTTTAGAATTTATTATAAACCATGTGTTAGAGATTAATCTGTAATACTTTGGTCAAACAAAATAAAGGATGCTCCCACTGATTTTTTGGCTCTGTATAATATTTAATAGTAGCTCCCTCCTGCCTCTTCAGTTATACCTGAGTATTAATAGTGTTCTGACCAAATTTTATTTTTGTACTTTTCTCCTAAATGTATGTAAATTTCTTCCACCTAGAATGTCTTTATCCAGTCTTTGTGCAAGGCTGCTTACCTGTTCACTTACCTCCTCTGTCAGCTACCACTGTTCCTTAGCTTTGATAGCCTGCCTTGATATTGGGCACTTAGGTCAATGAACGTACGTCCGTACTTAAGTGTGCGTGCATTCGTGTGTGCGTGTGTGTATGTGTGTTCTCCACTGTGCCTTTGATGATCTTAATAATTCATAGAAATCAACAAGACAAAAGCTAGAACATAATAGGAATTTAGTGATGAGACAGTCCTAGGAAGGAACTTGTGCTTCCCAGCTACGTGGATGCTGGGAGCTGAACATGGGTTCTCTATAAGAATAGATTCTATTAACCACTTAGCCAGGTTGCCTCCATTTTCTTACAGAAACTTTTTCCCTTAAGTCTTAGCTGAAGAAAAGGGAGTTTAAGGATCTCACTTCTGAAAGAGTCTTTTGGTGGTATGTAAGATCCCCACTCATTCCAGTTCTGAGGTTTTTTTAATTTTAAATCCCTACATTAATTTATATGTGTAGAGTGGAAGCCTTTGCTTCAGCTGGACTTCAGCATGTTGCTGAAACACGGTAATTCTCCCAGTGGAGAAAAGGTTATAGTTTGGTAGCCAAAGAGAGGGACACAAGTGTCTTTCTTGAGACTATCTCTACTCCCGTTGGAGTTGAGCTTAGGCTCACATTGTAGATTCAACATCACCTTTAACACCCATGGGTGAATCCTAATTTAATCCAGCACCTTCCTCATCATCTTGGTGGTCTGCTCTATGGTGAGGGCTCTAACTCGTAGACCCCACCTCTTCTTTTTCTTTAGCTGTTCTTGTTGCTACTTGTCTCTTCTGTTTCTTTCTTAACTAGTCTCTTTTTTTCTTAGTTTATAAATACAGTGCCTAAAATATTACTGGGGACTCAAAAATATGATAAAATTTTGTAGAACATGCATTACATTCTCCATGTCTTTTAAAAATGGATATTTATTTTTATTTTATGTGTATTGTTTTTGTCCGAATATATATATGCACCATATGTGTGCCTGGTGCCAAGTAGGTCAGAAGAGGGTATTGAATCTCTCGCAGCTTGCAATCAGCTGTGTGGATGCTGGGAGCTGAGCCTGTGTTTTCTATAAGAATAGGAACTCTTAGCCGCTTAGCTATCTCCCTAACTTCCCCCTGCCCCCGATTTACTTTTAAAATAAATTCGCCTTTTAGCATTATAGCTTACATTTAATACTTATGACAGCATTTTTGCCAGCTCTACTACATTATTTATATTTCAGTATTGAAAGTAAAATTCTCTCTCTTTTTAATGTAGTTTCTTAGTAAACCATCATTTTAAAGGCATAGCTAATAAAATTGTACTGACATAATTTTTTGAGGTTTGGGAAAATTTTTACAACATTCTGTCTAAGGGATAAGCATTTTATTTGTGAAGGAGAGTCATGAAGGTTGGTTCTTCTTAGCTCCCTGGTTAGATGAATGGTAGTTTCAGTCTATTCTAAAACCTGGGCTTTGCCTTAGGAAAGTCCTAAGTAGGGAGATGGGCTTAGCATCTTTTTAGTACTTGACCAGTCCCATTGAGCTGGGTGCGTGTTTGTTAACTTGCTGACTGTCCATTCATCCATTAAGATATTCCATCTAAATACAAGGAAGGAAGGCAGGCAGAAGGCTGCTGGGGCTCTGGAGTCTGTTGGCTTATACTTTTTTATTAAGAACATGAAAGCTTCCTCAGGAAACATTGCCAAAACTCGCCTTTGCGTATCCTGAAGGTGGATAAGAACATGAGAGGACAGAATCGAACCTGTTCATTCTTGAGTCTGGTTGAAATTCTCTCTTGTGGCCTCATTTGTTGTGGACTACATCAGGGTTCTGTAAGCTGGGGAAGTCTGTACCCTACAGTTTGCTTTTACTTCTTGTCAAATAACCTTGTCTTCTTTGTTTATCCTGATTTATTTTAACTCTAAATTACTTAACCTGTGTATAAAAGTAGATTGGTAATATTCCTTTTTTATATATCATGTAATTTTGCAAGTTAATTCATATTTTAGTTTTTTTTAAATTAATTCATAGGTTAATCCTATCAGAGGATCTAATAAACTATCATCATTTTTTTAATTTATAATTAACTTTGTAGTACATATAATAGTTAAGAAACATCAGTATCATGTATTTGTTATCTTAAACCTGTTTCTGTAACATTTTTATTTTGCAGTAAATTCTATAAAATTCCATCCCTCAGAGCAGTTGGCTCTTACTGGTATGTTGACTTTTCTTCTTTCTTGAATTAAATTAATAATCTTAAAACAGCTATAAATTTTATATTCTTTTGTTAGTACTGTCAGAGTTATCCATGGTACTTACGGAAGTTAGATATTTTATGAATTCCTTTATTCCTTTCTAGGTCATTTACCTAAGCTTCAGCAGCTTGTGTGCATCCCGTTTTATACTGGCTCCAGCGGTGGGGGGTGCACTCCTTTAATCTCAGTATTTGGGAGGCAGAGGCAGGTATAGGTAGATCTCTGAGTTTGAGGTTACCCTGGTCTACAGAGTGAGTTCCAGGACAGCCAGGGCTACACAGAGAAATCCTGTATCAAAAAACAACCAAACCAAACCACACTACACCACACCACACCACACCACACCAAACCAAACACCAAACCAAACACCAAACCAAACCAAACCAAACCCCAAACCAAACCAAACACCAAGCCAAACCAAACACCAAACCAACCCCCAAACCCAACCCCAACCCAAACCAAACCAAATGAAAACAGCTTCATTTGCTGCTTTTGGAAAGTAGCCTTTTGTGCTGAGGATTATTTCTATAACGTTGTCAGACAGCTATGGAGTCGTGTTTTGGGATACAGATGTTAACCTTGGAGAGTATGTGTTGGCTTTGATGGACCAGAGGTTGGCATACTTCTGAAAAAGGCCAGTTAGGAATATTTATCTTTGACAGACCATATGACACCTGTCTCTGCTCTGTCCTGCTTTTGTAGCACGAAAATATGCCTCTGCAGCAGGTGGAGGGACATGGTGGTTCATTTATAAGAACAGGGACTTACCTGTGCTTTTCCCCTGGGCCATATTCTGCTGACTTGTAGAGTCAAGTTGAGGTGACAGGGTGGGTATTTTGTGTAGGTAGAAGTATTAAAGAAGGAGCCCAACATGAGTCCTTCATGTGTGGTGTACAGTGATTACTCGTTTTGGTCAGAGGCTTTTCACATGTGAGAGGATATAGTGAGAAAGTTCTCTAAATCATTTACCCAGTCCTAGGTAATCATACCAAGATTTACCTTACTACAGATCTGAGGAGTGAAAGTGGGGAAGACCCTGAAGGTTTATTGTATAATTGATAGAGAAAGAAGACGTTAGACCAGTGACAGTTGGATGTGTTTAGATATCAACCAAAGGCTTAGAAAGGAGAGGTGAAGCCAAGTGATATCTACAAAAGGAGCTAATAGGAACTTTGAGACAGCTAAAGGAGAAAAGAAAATTAGACTGCAATTCTTATGGAGAGCAAGACAGGACGATCGGTTGATTTCGGCCATTACAAATTTACTTTCAGCTCATGGTAACTTCTTTAGGTAAGTCTTGCAGCAGTGAAGAGAAGATAGAAAGTAGACCACATTGGTGAGGGGTGAGAATAACCATTCTGGAGAGGAAGGGGCTCCCTGTTTGGCTGTCCTTCCTCTTTCGTTCCTAGTCAAAGCATTTTCTTACAAACTTCTGCTTCAGGAATAGGAAAGCAACACAAATATGTGGTGCTAAAAAGAACATACAATAAATAATGCTTATTGTAAAGTCTTACTGATAATGAATGGATGAAAGTATTCATTCACTTTCCCTGAAACATCTCAGATTCTGTTATGGTCATAAGTGTAATTCAATAGAATATTTATTACATAGATTAAAATCTCTTTATATATTTTTTAATCTTCAGAATTTTTCTCAAATGAAAGGGAAATATTTTCTTTAGTAATAGCAATAATAATCCTAATTTTGTACATGTATTTTATTAATAGCCTTATACAGTCTGAAATCACTAAATAAAGTATATTTGTTTTACTAAATGATGAGTAAGTTAGAAAAGCATGATTGATGTTTGGCTGCAAATGTAAGAAAGAGCACATTTTATGCACGGTGTGCCCCATGGATAATCTTCCCTATTTGTCTCTTTAGCTTCTGGAGATCAGACTGCTCATATCTGGAGATACGTGGTACAGCTGCCAACACCTCAGCCTGTTGCTGACACTAGTGTAAGCATGCTTAGTCACTCTGACAGTTCTCTGTTGGTCTATTCATGTGGGACTCTGGATGTTTTCAAATTTTAGAATAAGCTGATGGTATCTGATGTGGTCGAATGTGGCTTAACTGACCTACGTTTTAAAAGGTTAGTGTAGATGTGAACAGTGAATTTAATCAGCCACCTTAGCAGACAGATGGGGGAAGACTGTCAGAGCGCTGGGCTCTGTAAACACCAGGAAACGGAACTGCCTGGCTATAAACATGTGTCTTCCTTTAGACAGAGGAACAAGGATCTGAAAGTGATTAGTGATCTAAAGAGATAGTCACTCCTGTCTATCGTAGTCCTGAGGTTGGCTCTTCCTCATTTTGAAAGGGCTGGCTTCCTGGTTCTCAGCCTCCCTGCCTTTCTGTTTTATTTTCCTCTTCCTCTCCCTCTTTTTTTCTTTTTAAGACACATGCTTTCCTTGTAGCCCAGCCAAGCTGGCCTTGGATTTCCATTCTTCCCCAGCCTCCTAAGAGATGGGTTTATAAGCCTGTGCCATCTATCTGGCCTCGCTTTGGTTTGGGGAGGGGGCAGGATGCCACTGCCCAGTGCCACAGCAGGGGTAGGGCTGCCCAGCTAGCTGTCATTAATGAAGGTGCTACCTCAATGGATCTAAAAGGTAAAGAATAGAACCCAAGAGCATTGCTGTTGAGATTTAGATCTAATGGAATTTGCTTTGCTGGACTTGGGGTTTGTTTGGAACCTGTTGTCCTTCCATTATTTTGCTCTCTTTGGAAATAGAATTACCTGTCCTGAACTTCTATGGTGTTATTTTTTTTTATAAATATGACTTGTTTGTTTTCTGTGGTCTATAGCTAGATATGAATTTTTTTTTAGAATGTTATGGATGGTGTCTTAAGAGTTTCTACTGCTTTGAAGACCATGGCAACTCTTATAAAGGCAAACATTTATTTGGGGCTGGCTTAGGACCATTATCATCATGGCAAGATTCATGGTGGCAGCATGCAGGCAGACATGATGCTGGAGAAGGAGCTGAGAGTTCTACATTTTGATCCATAGGCAGCAGGAAGTGAACTGACTTCAGCTTCTAAGACCTCAAAGCTCACCTCCACAGTGACACACTTCCTCCAACAAGGCCACACCTCCTTATAGCGCCCCCCTCTAGGCCAAGCATTCAAACACATGAGACTATGGGGTGTCATTCCTATTCAAACCACAATTGGGTATTTTTGTCACCCCCAAATTTATATGCTATTATAGCTTTAATTAGAGGCACTATCTTTAAGAAAGTAGTTCAGTTTAAATGAGACCATAGTGTGGGGCCCTGGTCTAATAATATTAGTGTTCTTAAGACATCAGAGACTCTGCTTTCTTTCCTCCCCATTATGTGAAAGGCAACTGTTTGCTAGGTAGAAAAAGACCTTTCATCAGAAAGCATACTTGTTGGTACCTTTATCAGGGACTTCTGCTCTCCAAAATTAACTTATGTCATTTCACTTTCTAAAACATGAAATTTCAGTCTTTTTTGAGTCTTTTTTAATATGGTCTCTCTAGTGGAAAAGATGCTTAATACTACACATAGCCCAAACCATATGTATGATCTTAACTCTTAAATCCTTTCCTCTGTGTGTGCTTGTCTGAAGAGTTGAGGAGGTAGCTCCATCTGATGTATTTATTTTTTACTTTTATTTATTTTTTCTTAAATATAATTTTGTATATTTTTAATTTTATTTTATTTTTTTTATTTTTATTTATTTTTTTTAGTGAAAACCTATTGTGCTCACTTTTGGTCAGGAGTCCAGCAGTTGTCATGAAGTTTGGAATTCTTTGTGATACACTCTTTTTATCTCCTTGCTCTGTTTCTAGCTACTCCATGAAATCTTATCGATTTGGTTGTTCAGTCTTTTTCTGTGCATTGGTAAACTGTTATGTACCATTCAAGAGAGATACCCACTGAGTTTTCCTATGGATTCCTATAGTTACCTAGGAAGTGTATGACAGACAAGGCCGTATGTCAGATGTCACATTCAGTATTCTTTGTTGAAACCATCTTTGGTACCTATCCAGAACTGTGCAGCAGTACAGGTATGGGGTGTAAGACTCCTCTGGTGAAGGTGTGGGAGCTGAGAAGCCTCGTGACAAAGAACCAGAGTCTTCTGAACAGTTCTATCAACAGCAGAGCTGGAAGGCATCCAGAAACAGCTCAGAGCTCCAGCGTTTCTGCAGCATTCCCAACAGGCATTTCCGGTGATTGTAGCAGCCCTTCCTGTCTTGATATGTTTATATGCTGGGAGTCATTATTCTCTTGACCAGCACAGCCTGGGGATGAAGCTCTCATCTCATGTAGAAGGGAACCAGTTTGCTGACTAACTTTTTCACAATTTTTCAGGCTCTTCATTTTTTAGCCACTTGAATCTCATCTAGTGGTGGCCTACTATGGCTCCCTTTTCATAATTTACCAGGAGTCGTCTTTCTAGAATAATGGATATGCTGATAACGTCAGTAGCTCCCTTTTGCTTTTGAGATGGGAGTTTTTTTCTTTGTAGGGCTTCCCTTGTCCTTCTGTTGTGGCTTTTGAAACAGCCTCACTGTTTAACTCTGGGTGGCCTTGAACTTATGGTAGCTCTGCCTCAGCCTCCAGAGTGCATGAGTTATTACATTCTTGGACTAGAGGATCTATTCTGGTTTCCCTTTGTAAACCTTTCTAGGCTTAGTTTTTATACATCTTCTGCACTCCAGCCCTTACTGAACTCGGCTATGCTTAGAGCTTTGCTAGGTTGTACCTGTTTTCCCCAAGCTCCTCTTCTTTCACATGTCACTCATGTGTGGCTTCCTTGAAGAGTTACACTACCCTGAGTACTCTCATGCACCCTGCAGTATAGCAGATGTTAGCATAGTCTGGTAATTTCTTGTTCCATCAGTAGAGTTCTATTTCCGCTTCTCGATGGTTTTTACAATGCCTCCCTGTGTCCTTAGAATAGTTCTAATACCAGCACATATTTGTCCCAAAGCTCACCCAGAAGTATTACCCCACTGATTTTCCTTCCCACACCAACATCTTCAGCAGTGTCTTTTCCCTCCTAAGTCTCACTCTGTCTACCTTAGTGTCTCCACAACTCTGCTGGTCTTCAGTCATCTGTGTTGCCTTCATGGTTGCTCATCCTGCAGACACTGAAGCTGCTTTTGGAGATTCTAACACACCCTTTCCTCCTGCCTCTTCCTTCCCTTAAATCTTGTTGGGTGGTTTTCTGATGCTCTACCCACTGGTGAGTACGCTGCTCAACTGTTGTTTTCCTATATGTTGTAGTCCTAGTTGGTCTCATTCAGCATCTGTGGTGTTAAGGACCAGCTGTTGCTGTGGGTCTTAATTTGCATACTGGCTTTCCTCTTAAATCTAGACTTCAGTTGTCATGTAATCAACCTTGCTTGGATGTCCTGTCCTGTATCTACTATAGGGTTCTGAATGTTCCCTAACTGCTGCTTTATCCTGTTGTTCATCTCAGCTGTGCCACCAGTCACTCAGGAGTTTGGACCATAGGCGACCATTAAATTGTCTTCAGTGTGTGTGTTTGTGTGTGTGTGTGTGTGTTTTCCATGTGGATATCTGTTGGCAATTCTGAAGCTTTCCTGAGAGGATATATTAGTCTTCTCACCTTCATCACTACTACCCACATCTAGACTTCTTTTTCCTGTAGTTATATTTGCCCTGGTTCTTCCTAGGACTGGTGACTTCAGCATCAATTTATGTCACCACAGTCTGTAGACTAGAAGTCTAAGAGCAAGGTAGCAGAAGGGTTGGTTTATTCTAAGGCCTCTGTCCTTGCCTAGCAGGTGGTTACGTTGTCACTGTGTCCTCGCATGATCTTTCCTTGTATGTGTCTCTATAGTTTTTTATTGCAGTACATCAGTCATGGTAGACTGGGTCCTATACTCAGCCTAATTTTAATTACCTCTTAAGGGCCTTTTTTTTTTTTCCTACTAGGGTCACATTCTGAGGTCTTGGAGTTGGGCTTTGGCATGTGAGTGTGTGGGTGACACAGTTTGTGCATAGCAGCCTCCTCCTGTTTTCCTGTGTTTAATTCAGGTGACATGTCTCTGCTGAGAAGTGATGATTTTTCTACCACATGCAGAATAGAGCAGAGTCTTTCCATGGCCTACCAGGTTTTCCATACCACTTGCTCCATTGCCCCTCACCCTGTTTTTGTGTCCCTTCACACACTAGCAAGCCCAGTTTTGTAGCAGAGAAAAAAGGCTTTATTTTGTTTTTCTGCCTGGAAGGATATTCCTTCACTATCTGCATACCTTTGGCCTTTTTTCTCCATAATTGGACTCAGTTGTTGTTAGTCTTCTTGAGTAATTCTGTGTAAGACAGCAGCCCTTCAGCTGTCTGTCTCTTCCTCTCTCCACTTCCTTTCTTATTTTCTCCCTTGCACTCACTCCTACTTGATTGTGTATGTGGTACATTCTATACCATGTGAGTGCAGGTGACAAGGATGACATACTTCCTTGTGGATTTTGTTCATGAGATATATGCTCAGGCTAGTATGTATACACACATGACATATACTATGTGTATGTTTTGTGAGTCTGTGTAGTATCTCTCTCCTGTAAGGGCAGGGACTTTGCCAGTTGTATTTATGCCGGCTTTTTATCATTTAGAGTAAGCATCATCTTAGGTATGACAGATGTCCTCTGTCTTCTCTGCTCTATAAACAACACGACAGCTTAATCGATATTTATTGAACTAATAAACATTTTCTTGAAGAGCTGGACTACAGATTGCTGTTACATTTTTATGTTATCTGGCTTTTAACAAAGGATTTAATTGATACAGGAAAATCAAGTGATCTCTCATTGTTAGAACAATGGAATTGTATGTTATAATTTAGAAGTCTTTTAAGTATTTTAAATAGGCTTCTGAGAATCAAAATGTATTTTGTATTGTGAAATATTATTGACTTTTAATGTATTTTTAAAATTTTATACTGTATTTCTAATAAGCAGTAAAAATGGAAATGTTGAAATTTTCTTTATTTGCTATTTTTTGATGAGTGAAAATGAATTTTAATTCTTTTGATGCTATTTTGGCTTTAGCATTTTTTTCAGGATATTCTAGCTAAGACTTATATAGCTAAGACTTAACATTGAGAAAGCATTCCTTAAGCATTAGTTACATATCAGATTCTATGCTTACATTGACCCTAATGGTGACTAAATCTAGAAAGATAAATGGTGTAGCCTTTTCAGAAAAAAAACTAAAGATTCCTACAAAGTCTTTTTTTCTGATTTTTTACCCTTAGCAACAAATTTCTGGTGAAGATGAAGTAGAGTGCTCTGATAAAGATGAGCCTGACATTGATGGAGACGTGTCCAGTGACTGCCCTACTGTCCGAGTCCCACTGACATCTCTCAAAAGCCATCAGGGTGTGGTTATTGCTGCTGACTGGCTGGTTGGTGGGAAACAAGTGGTGACAGCCTCATGGGACAGAACTGCCAACCTGTATGATGTGGAGACATCTGAACTTGTTCATTCTCTGACAGGTATCTTGCTGTGAACCTCTGAAATTCTTCCTAGTTAGGCTGTTTTTATGTCTGAGCTTATAAATGACTTCCAAGCCAGGACTCTCTTTAGTGCTCTTGGCTCTTTGGTTGTCATTCTTGGAGATCCTTTCTGATTAATTAATAGAACTCTTTATAGTTAAATGTATTTTACCTTCAGGAGATTAACTGTAGCATATAGTATTTCAATATTTGAAGTATGATTGTTGTATTGTATTTTGTTTCTCTTTGACAATTTTCCTCACCCCCAACTCCCTGCCACCTCTTTTAAATAAACTTAAATGACAGGCAGGAGTCTATTAACTCCGTGTTTCCTTGTCAGGCTTTCGGTGTCAGTGGTGGCTGCTCCTCAGCTGTGGGTGTCTACTTGGTTGAAGTGAAGGTGCAGCTTGGGCAGGGTCTCTGGGACTTGGAGTTCTTCCATGTTCACTGGTTCCTGGGAAAACCCATTCAGGTTCTTGTACCCGTGTGACTGGGACTGTATTTTATCTTTTAGGAGATTAACTGTAACATGTACTATTTCTATATTTGAAGAATGATTGTTTTATTGGGATTCTGTTTCTCTTTGACAATCCCCTCCCTCCTTTTAAATAAACTTAAATAACAGGCAGGAGTCTATTAACTTGGTGTTTCCTTATCAGGCTTTCTATGTCTGTGGTGGCTGCTCCTCGCTGTGGTGTCTACTTGTAGTGGTCAGTTAGGGTCTATCCTGTGCTTCCAGGAGTCCTAGGAAAGGCCCCTTCCCATAGCAGGATGCTCCAGGCCAGCAGGAACAAGCCTGAGTTGCCCTGGATTCTCTAGCTTCTGGGTGAACTTTGTCCATTTTTCAAATGGTTCTAGCTGTTTAGACCAGGCCACTGAGGACAGCCTTTCTTTTGATTAACACAAAGTTGACTGATTTAGGGACCTTAGTTACATATGTGGTATTTTCTTTGGTCTAGTGTATATTCCAGTTATAGACAGATATATTTACAGGTTTTGCCCAGATGCAAGACAGAATGTTCTAACGACCCATAAAATTACACCATTAGCAGTTATTCTTGTTGCAATCAGCCTTTTAATTTGTCTGACTGTCTAGCTGTTAAGACCAGAAATTGAGTTATGATGTATCTAGTTCCCTACTCTTTTATGTAGATAGCTGAAGGGACTTCAGGCATCGGAGGAGATAGCCTTCCACACCACTTACGTAATTCCTTAAAGTTTACGTTTCCATCCGATATTAGTGGTGCCTGTAAAGATGATGGATGTTTTTGATTCTTGTGTTTTATAAAGCTTCACTCTCACTGTGCGTCTGAAGGAGGATGACCTTGTGTTTTGTTGTATTTGGTTGTAGGGCATGACCAGGAGTTAACCCATTGTTGCACTCACCCCACCCAGCGGCTCGTGGTGACCTCCTCCCGTGACACAACTTTCCGTCTCTGGGATTTCAGGGACCCTTCCATCCACTCCGTGAATGTTTTCCAAGGACACACGGAGTGAGTTAACAGTTCTTTAGAGATTTTAACTATCTGTGAAAAGTTTTGTAGGTTGAAACTTTAATCTTAATTTCTACCGTTTGAAATTTATCTCTTTTTCATAATGATTGCTCTGTCTCTAAACATTTTGGTATGTGTTTACAAAGGCCTAGAAGACGACTAAAAGAAGGTTCTGATGGTCTTTGAAGAAATTGAATGGGATTGAATCTGGCAGGGGCTGGGGGTGGATGGCTCAGGGAAGAATCAAGAAGTGCCTCAGGCATGGTTAGTGGGAGCATAATCCTTGTTATCTGATAAGGGGCCCAGTTTAAGCTCTTCACAGCTTACTCACAAATTAGTGTACTATGTCTTTAAAATTAATTGATTAGCAAATTAGGTTAATTTAGATTAGCAAACAAAGTATTGGGTTTAATAATGGCATTGTCATACTCATGTGTCATACTTTCTCAGGTGTTCCCCTTTCCCCATCTGGCTCCCTTGCGTCTCCCAGTTTGCCTCCTTATGCTTTCCTCTTAAAGGTACTCCAGCACGCTATTTCCCACCTCCTTTATGATCTACTTTGCAGCCCCTCTCATGGCTCCCAGCACAGACTGGGTACACTGAGAGGAGGTTTATATACCTACGTGCACACATGGATCATCACTGTCAAGCAAGTTAAGCACAAGGCTACCTCAACACAATTGTATATTCTTTGGTTTTTTCAATAAACAGGGAGATTGTTTATTTAGTTCCTCATGACACAGCTAAGGTAGTGTCTGCCAGATCTCTTCCTGGAAAGTAATGTCTTCCAGTTTGGAGCTACCAAAGTGACACTTTGAGATATGAAGCTCTCTTTTTTCCAGCAACCTTTCATCAAGTGAGCCTAACACTGATGATCTGTGCCAACTTAGTGCAAGAGTGTGTGCTGTGGTCAGGTCTCTCATTCAGCCATTCTTCTTACCCTTGATGGCCAGCTCTTACCCTTTGAGAATAAACACAAATTTCTGGATGTGCTTGTCATTTTGTCATTGTCCTTCATTGTCATTTTAATTTTGACCCTTGGTGCTACTGAACCTTCTACGTGTCCCCTGGTCTCTAGACATTGATGTCCTTTTCTTATGGTAGGATGATGGCCTAGGCTGGGAAATAACACTGGCATCTCACTCAGCTGGTTCTGTTAACCTGCACTGGAGCAAGCAAAATCTAGCAGAGATTTGAGTTGAGCCAAGAAGAGAGTTTTGTTTTCAGAGATGTACTTGGGGTAGAGTAGAGCAGATGGGGGTCACAGGGAGTCTGGCCAGCTTGTCCTTAACCATGCTTGCAAGGACAGAGTAGAAGTTGGGGGGAACTGGTGTAGGCTGGAGCATTGTATTGTGTTCAGGTAAAGGTACAGACAGCCAGGGTTTTATAGTCCTTGGTGTGCCTGGCCAGATGTAGTCAGAATTTACAGGTTGAATTTGAGGTTGCCAGGTCTTGGCAGATATCATCTTCATTCCAGAGAAAGTAAGCCATGAGGAGCCAGGAGGCTGCCTGGCTCCAGTGAAGTTTAATTCTAAGTGAGTGATTTAGGTCAGTCTCTCCTGGCGTCTTCAGCTTGCCTCGTGGTGGTATTTAAAGACTGGTTATTTGAAACATTTTTATTTGTTTCATGCTTTGAAAGGAGAATATATTTGCATTATTGGTAACTGATGGAGGTGCGTTACAGCTTTTAAGGTCTTACTAGTACATGAAATAGCAGTTGTTTTAGGAATATGAGGAACATGAACGTGATGGGTTGTGGACCCCCCCCCCAAAGCCCCTAATTGCACCCTTTTTGAGGCAAGGTCTTACAATGTAGCTGTTGTTGTCCTGGAACTCACTATATAGACTAGATTAATCTTGAACTCAGGGATCCTCCTGCATTCTTAATGTGCTGCCACATCTGGCCTAAGGAGCCCGCCTGCCTGCCTGCCTTCCTTCCTTCCTTCCTTCCTTCCTTCCTTCCTTCCTTCCTTCCT